TTTTTTTTTTTTTTTTTTTGTATTAGGTTGAGGACCTTGCACTCGTAACAATGCTGTTTCTGGAGGAACAATTCTCCATTTGGAGTAGAATAGAAATGATCTTATAATAGCTACTTTCTCTTTGGTTTCTATGAAGTTATGTTAATACCAAGAATTTGGATGAGAGGTTAGAGCCAGTTGCAGGGAGATGCTTATATAGTAATAATATTTACTTTCCCTTATTTTCTTATAATACTGTGGCTCACTTGTAAAATCCTTTAATGGATGCCTTTCCAAAGTGGTCAGTAATACAAGCTTATAACCCTTCTTTCTTAGGCTGTGCTGAATGTGGCAGGTTCTCTTTTCCAGAATACTAGTGCTGAGAGAGATTATCTAAGTACGCTAGGTTAGATAAGTTCATTACACCCACGCTGCAGTTGCTTCACCGGCTTCTTGTTAAGCTGTATTTGACTATGAAATTACTCTTCCATTTTCTGAATTATTGCACTGCCTTCCACTTTCTACTTTAATAGATTTAACAGTTCTCTTTATAGTCTTGGGTTGGCAAATATTGGTCCTCTTATTTCTAAACATTATTCCAGGTAATGCAATTATAAAACATTTAGCTGTAGAGCTGTGTAGCCCACTGAATATTAGATTTAGGTAATGCCGTCAATATGCAGTTCTCAACGATGCCATGCCCTAAACAATAGGTCTGGCACAGCTCAACTCTGGCACACTGGAATCGCATGTAAATTATGGTGGGCTAGTTGTTAATTGAACCTGAAGACATTTTAGCTTTGGGGAATTTCAGATCAGTCCCAACTTAGTTTTATTTTGTATTTTGAAAAAGATTAGTTTGGGAATTGTATATGCTTTGCTGCTAATTTTAACTTCTGATTGATTTGATAATTCCCTGGTATGATTGCATGAAGTTATATACAGATGACTATAAAACTGTGTTGCAATTATCATCTAGTCATCCAAAAGCTTCTTGAGAGAGTAATGTAACTCTGTGTGTCACTAATTGGTACTCTATAGAGATGTTTGCGCATTGGAACCTGTAGTTTGAAACATTGCATTTCTGCTTTTAGTAGAGTAAAACATTCATTAAGGTTTAATATTGATCTTTCGAAAGAGTGAAAGCAATGACAAACCATGGCAGAGAGCAGGTTTTACCTTAACATTGAGTTGCTAATAATCCTGAGATTTATTGTGGATTTTGAACCTTTATCTCTGGGGGAAATGGGGGAGAGGCATTAGGGAGAGGAGAGAGAAAAATGTTTATTGCAGCACTGAGAAATTATCCCATACCATAATATGAAGGTGCTAAAGGGTTTAAAAGGGTTTCATTATTTCAGAACAAGTTTAAACTAGAGCCTTTTCTTTCTTTTTAGAGCAGTTCTGTGCAGAGAAAATGCACACCCGGAATGATAGTGCATCTCAACGTGCCATTTGGCAGTGTCATTATTTGGCAAAAAAAGTTAATTTCACACCCCAAAAACTGAATAAAATTGACAGCTGACCCCTTTTAGGGGGAGACAAAAGTGAAGTATTGAATTGCCAGCAAAGAAAAAAAAGAGGAGTTTTCAGTTACAGTTGCCACTATTAAAATGAACAAATGCCAAAGAATGCCACCATTAAAAAGCCCATTAAAACCCCGGGAAATCGACAGTTAAGGGAAGATGGAAAAGTGTGCGAATGCCCTCGCACAATCTCTCTAACATACGAACGAGGGTGCAATCAGTTTTTGCTCATCTTAAAATAACCTCACCCTTTTCTTTTTTCTTCCAATCCTTCCTTTTCTCCCTTACTGGGGAGCCTTCATGTGAGTAGTTGCACTACACTCATTTTCCTGGACATTTTTCACAACCACTGGAATAGAAGGGAAGTAGGGGAAAGAGGGAGAAAAAAATGGTCAGTAATAGGTGACTGCAAAAAAGAACAATTTCTTCTGCTATAAGGCAACTTCTGGGCAAGGTCGTGGAACAAGAGATGCCTCGAACACTGGTGGTTGCAGGGCACTTACAGCTGGAGGGCTGCTGACCTTCCTGCTTGGCTCGGAGATGCCAGGGCACTTTCTTACAAGCTTTTTGAGGAAGGCTGTGTCACTTAGAGCAGCGGTGCTCAACCTTCTGACCCACAGGCCAGGTGCATGGCGCAGGGTCTGTCCACGGACAGGATCCCACATAATGTTAGTGCATGGGGATAACAGCCTGACCCTGCATGTTGGACCTAACCCTGCATGCACAAATCTGGCCACATGCCATCCTGGTATAGGGTGCTGGCAATATTATTTGCCCTTCAGGGCTTTCTGTGGGTCTGGAAATTTAGCAGCCAGGGGGCAGCAATTAATACTGCCACTGGTTGCCCACTGCCAAATGTCCAGACCCACAAAGAGCAGTTTGGCCAGATGATACAGCTCCATGGGTTAGGTCTGATCTGTGGGCTATTGAGCACAATTAACTTAGATGTTTTCTAATGTAGGCTCTTAAATATGGATGCCTAATATTGGCTTTACAGAGTCGCTCAGTATAAATTTAAGTGCACAACCTTGGGTGCCCAGTTTTGACAATGTTAGTGTTCTTGAATTACACAGTTAAAAAAACAACATTATTAACTGTCTTATCATTGTGCATTTCAAGCATCTGCAGTTGCTACTGGGATATTGCATGATGGTGAATGAGAAGTAATTTGGTCTAGATGATAATCTGTCACAAAAAGATGGAGTGGTGTACATTATCACTGCTGGCTCACTCTTTAAGTTCCATATTATTTTAACTACATATAGACTAGGTACAAACCTTACACTTTTACTGGTATAAGTGATCAGAGTCTGGTCTATACCTGTAAGAGAACAGAAGTTCAACATAAACTGACTAGTTTAGTTTAAAAATAGAAGAACCTGGGCTAAGATTTACACCCCCCCTTGCCAAAGGGTGAATGTATGTTCTGTTCGCAGCCAATCTAAACTATGCCACTTAGAGAAAACGGCATAACTTATCTCGATTCCACCTCAGACTTTCTAAATGTCTGTACATAGCCAAAGATCCCAGTCCTTCTCAAGCTGAAGTCATGTTGGGTGCTTCTGCATGGGAGGCGGAAAAGATCCAAACTATTTTGTATAAAGGCCACTACACAAAATGCAGCTGGGTCCTATTTTATGGTAGAATTCTGCTAGAATACCAAGGTTACATTTTGCCTCTCCAGTTTATAACAATCTATGCCTTTCTTCCTAATAAAAGCATATCTTTTCTCTTATTGAATATGTCACACAGTAGAGACTGTGGATTAGATCAACGAAGGGGCTTTGGCATTGCAGCATGTGAGTTTTAGAAGCAGAATCCACAGCTATGAATTAGGTGCCCAGGCTCCTCATGCATAGGGTCCTACCCAACTCAAGGAGCTGGTCAGTTTTGTAGGGAGATTGCAGGGCTGGTCATCACTTTTGTGGGCTGATCATGGTGGCACCCCCCATGCATCTGATTGAGTGAGGGGCCCTAGTGGCCCCACCGCTCGCTGCTAATGTGTTGTGGGGGCTGTCTGTCATACAGCCTTGCCACTGTTTGGTTGTGAGTGATGTCTATCATTCATCCCTGCCACTGATGGGTGGAGAGGAGCGGGTCTGCACAACAGACACCCCCCTCAACCAGTCAGTGGTGAGGGACAAGGGAGGTGGGCTTCGCTTCATGTGGACAGCCTCCCCTTCAGTAAGCTGTGCCATGAGGACTACTGGATCCCTCTGGGGAGCCAGCATTTTATTTTCAGTAAATTTCCTTTTTTTTTTTCCTCTTTGGATTTCACAGACATTGCCCACTTTTGCAAGCAGTTCCAGATTTCGTGATTTCCGTGAAATCCACGAAATAGTGATTTCAGTAGGTCAGTGCTTATGCAATGCATGGCATGCATTAAACGCCTCAAAAAGGATCTCTCAGTAGCAAGCATATGGAGTGGTAAGCTAGTCAGTAGGAAATACTTATGACCTCTAGAAACTTTTCCCTCTGTTCATAATTCACAGCCCTACACTGATCTTGGGATGAGAAGTCAGCAGGGGTTCATTTTTTTCTTTTAAAAAAATGAAAGATTAAAGGGGAAGCTTCCCTTCCATAGAACAGTCTAGAGCATTTGAGGATGTCGCAGCATTGTGTGGTTCTGTGTGTATAATGCCATTAGAGTCAAGAAGCACATTTCTGACATAAGATCAGTGCAAAATGTGTATTAATATTCACTAAATCCAATTTAATGTGCAAAGTGAGTGAATTTACTGGTTAAATGCTTTTCAGGCTAGCAAACATTTAGTTAGCATATTTCTCTTATGTAAATTGAAGCCGGTTCCAGGCCTAAATGCAACCATTTATCTATCTTTAAAATGAGACTAAATTGGGGTAAATATGTAAAAGAGTTGTTATTTAGTTTTGTTCATGCATAATATGAAATTTTGCAATGGAGCATTAATGTAGTAATTATACATATTTAGATAGAGTCTTTCAAGTTATCTTGAAAAGCTCAGGCACCGGCAATGTAATATGGGTTTAGAGCTTGATCTTGTAGCATTGAAATCCATAGGAAATTTGAAATGTTCTTCAGTGATGAAGGGATTCAGAATGTAAAAACAAGCAGTTCTCTACTGGATCAGATCAATAGGCCACATTGCCCCTCATTTCTCTGGAAGCAGCAGATAGTTTAGACGGAGAGCATACGAACAGGGCATGTCTGGAGTATTTCATCATTGTCATGCCCTCCTTAGGCTATGATTTAGAGATATCAGAGCATACATCCCTGGCTGTTCTGTTTATGAGCTATTAATGATTCTGTCTTCCACAAATTTTTCCAATCCTTTCAAAAACCCGGTTATACTTTTTGCTTGTATGACCTCCTGTGGCAATGAGTTCCACTTGTTAACTACACGCTGCTTTAAAAAGTCACACATCCTGAGACTTTTCTAAATCTCATTGCCATCTTCTGGTGGATTGATGGTATATATGAAATATGTTTTTCTCACTTACTGGTAGACAAGTGCTCCATGCCAAAGCCTATCACTGCTGGAGGCAAGGACCCCCCAGTTGATAATCTCAGTGGATTGGATGACGATGGCATGTTTTAGAAGAAAGGTTGTTTCACCAGCTTGGAGAAAATGGGGTCCCCCAAGCTAGAGCTCAGGCACATTGTCTTTGATCATCTCCATTTCCTCTATTATAGAGGGTTAAGGCATGGGCAATACAATCCAGGCAGTGTATCCAGAAAGGAAATTATGTAATAATATGGCAGATGGAGTTAAGAATGTTCAATATTATTAGGGCTGAGCAAATCTTCCAAATTCTTTTGTCTCTATAGAAGAGTGTACATGGATATTCAGGACTAATTATTGCTTGCAGGCCTTTTTTCCCTTCAATACCAGTCCATGATTTTGCTTTTAAGCGTGGTTCAACTTTTATAGTCTTTTTGAAGTCTTTTAATATTATATTTAATTTCCTGTTATCTTCTACTTAAGAGGAGCCAGTTTATTAGGGATAAAAAGGTGTGTGTGGGGGGGAAACTAGCTTGGGAAGCTCAAGAGAGGAAATATAATAAATGAGAAAAGAATGTGAAAATAAAAAAGCAAACTGGTGGGGGGGAAATCAGTACAGAGGAAGTTAAAATATTGGAGATTAGATTATCTGTCTGTTTGTCTACTGAAGTATACTGAAAAGGCAGGGTAGATATGCACCTTTAGGCCATGTCCACACGTGGTGTGGATGTTTGGTTCTCTGTGGACAGTTAGTAGTGGCGCATCTTGGGATGACACTACTTGTCCCTAAGGAAAGCCTGTGGCATGTGTGCTTTAGCACGTGACAATTCACCCCAGGGGCAGTAGGGGCAGCACTGGGCTGGCCCCAGCAGCCTGACCCGGTGTCCTGGGGGTCTCCCAGGGCTGCAGCAACAGTGATTCTGCTGTGCGGAGCCTGGCTGGCAGCTGCAGCACGGCTCCAGCCGGCCTGGCTCCATTTTTGAGTGGTGCGGGCTGCCGGTGCATGCGCTGCTCGCCTTTTTTCTTCCACAGATTTTTGTTTTTGATATCCAGGGGTCAAAAAAACCCTCCAGACTGCTCCATTGTGGCATGGAGAACAGCTGAACGTGTGGTTGGTGGCGCTACGGATGTGTCTGCAGCTCAACACATCGCACGGCTGCACTCGCCTAGATGCGGCCTTTTAAACTAATTTAATAAGATATAGCGAGGGAGCACAAGGTTTCGTGAACCCAAGTTGACTTCAGATGCTATACTTTAGGTGTATACTTTAGGAAGAGAAGAGACCATGATGTCAATAGGTAATTATTATTGGGTCAAATCTCAGAGTCCTTACGCACTTTGACATTTACCCACCTGCATAGGACTGATACGGCCCTCATATCTCAAGGCAGGATAAATTCATTTGGAACTTGACTAGGAATTTAATCTAATGATATACTTTTGGATTATAACTATATTCTCTATATTAGGCCAGAATAGAACTGAGCATTATCTTAACATTGGGGATGTAGAGGATAGATCTGAGAAAAAGAACTTGTTTTTAAACTATCTCCTCTCCTCATTTCCCCCCTTTGTAGTTATTCATTTACACATGGCTTGGTTTTAGATTTAATTATATTCTAAGTGTCTTTTGTCTAATCAACAATGCATGATGAAACTGAAGCACCAATATTTACTCACCTTTTTCCATTCTAGTAGTGCAATTACAAGCTTATGGATTAAGTTGTTGGTTCAGTTTGTGCTGACATCCAGTGTTAATTTTCAGGGTCAATTTCAGGACAGATGCCCCATAACATTTATCATTCATTCATGCTT